TAGCTTCTTTTTTTCGCGCATGAACGGGGGGAGGGGTCGCTTCGTAATCACAGTGGGCACTGCTGGCGTTGGGTCCCCGGGCTTGATATCTCTTTCGCAGACGCATGTTCCGCCGTGGCCCGCACGCCGATGGCCGCCGGTGGCCCCGCCGCCGACATGGGCACGTCGGCCACAGACACACGCGCGCTAATGATCGACTGATAGGGAACAATTGCGCGCGCAGCAGCCGTGACCCGCGCAGGTGCGCCATTTAATCGCGGGTTATCGGCGCGCGGAGGGAGGGGGGCGATCCCCGAAAACGGACCGCGAACGACACGGCCCACCAACGCGTGTCGTTGGGGTGCCCGCACAGGCGCGCTCGGACGCCGAGAACGGGGTCCGACGCCCCTCCTCCGACGCGGATCGAGCGCGTCTCCCGCCCAAGAGCGCGTGGGGGTGCTCGGTGAAGTTTCCACGGCGTCGTTCGGCTCATCTACACAACGCGCCGTGCATTCTTTCGGCCGCCGGATCGATGGGCGTCTTTCGAAAAGCGCCGCCGCTGCAGCAGAGAGATGCGGCCTCCTGGTTTCGGCGACTCTATCCCCGAGGAGCGAGGGAGGGGTGCCCGAAGTGGCGGCGACGGATGGAGCCCCGCGGATATTGTCTTTCCCCGCAGGAGCCCGCTCTCCAGCATATCTCGCTCTGATCGAGTCTAATGGTTTCCTACGAGGGCCGCGTTTCTTCTTCCGCGGGGGCGACATGACAAATGAATCTGCTCCCACCGCCGCCACCTTCTCGCCCTCTTCGGCGAACTTGCTCCTCCTCCCGCGCCCGTCCTCTGCTCTTTATGAGACCCTTTATTGAGGGAACTACCGAGAGCGGAAGAAAAGAGGCCCATAGCAATTACGACGACGAGCCCTCGAGGAAGAAAAAGGAAGAAGCGTCGGAAATTGGGCGAGATCCGCGGTGAAACAGTCTACGCTTTCCTCTACTGTTTCGCTCCTTTGGTTTTTTTTTTTTTAACTTTCTTTTCTTTTGTTGTTTTACCCAAATCCCTATTTATTTCTTTTACAAGTTTTCCTTCTTTTGTTTTCCGCTCTGTCGATTATCTTTTACAAAGCGCCGTCTTTCTTGTCGGGTTGTCTACATAAACGTTGCGAGCGACGCTTAACCGCGTCAATGATAGAGACGTCTTGTGTGACACTAGAGAGAGCGATCTTCCCTCAAAATGGCGTCTTGACCTCGGTGGACGACGACCGCAATATGTTTTTTTTTTTCTTTTTTCGTCTTCTTTTCGGCGCTCAAGATTGTCCGCAACAGGATCCTCGTTACGGATTTATGCCCTGGATCGAAATGGCGTCTAACCTTTCCCTATAACGCGAATGGGCGGTCGAATGCTTTTCGACACACTAAGTATACAGCGGAGATTTCGAAGCAGATATTACGGACGGGATCTCAAAACCCTTCTCGGAAAGGCGGCTTGACGATCGCATTTTTTTTTTCTTCTGCTTTTTCTCGGTGTCTGTGAGCGTTGATCGGGGACCGACAAAATGTTGCGATTCCGCTTCTGTTTTTTTTTTTTTTTTTTTCCGGGATCGCGTTTGTCGTTTTTGTCGTTCTCGCACGACCGAATTTGAACTCGTTCCTGGTCCTTGTCAAAGAAAAGAAGGGGGGGGGGGGGGGGGGGAACAGAAGAAAGGAATGATGCGGGAATTTCTGCTTATAAAAGCAACTTCGATGAGTGATGGCTGAATGTGTTGCCTTCGTGCTAATACGTCCGTCCGTTTTCTTTTTGTGCGCGTGTTTGTGTGTGTGCGTCACTTTTATCGTTTGTTCATATCCAAACCGTACTGATTAGGCCTTGAGTACTGTATCCAGGAGGCCCTCATTTTTTGCTTGCGATAACTGAACAACGCGGTTTTCAAGAACGAAGCGAGTCTCTGTTTTGCATAAAACTTGACATAAAACCCCGCAAAGAATTTATTTATGCACAAAACGAAAGTGTAACAATAACTATGGACCCTATAAGTATCAAGTTTAATCACGAAAACAAGGACTTTAAAAGACTTCCATATACTTTTTTTTTACAAATTGCATTTTTTAACTTGTTTGAAAGTTCTGCCATCCTCCATGTTTACGAAGTGGCAAGTATGTCGTGATATATACCTATTTTTCACGCCGGCGACACCCACAAACATGTTTAACATTGGCAATCGAAAAAAAAAAAAAAAAAAAAAAAAACTTCCGTGCGGATTTTTTTTTCTTTAACGACGAAACTTGATTGAAACCTTTTGAAAGTGTTCACGCTGTTGCAGCATGTCCCATTTGACAAAAATATGAGAATAGTGTCCCATTAATGCGCCAAAAGCTAATAACCCGATCTGACCACGCGTTCGGCGTATGCTTGACGCCGTCATAACTTTAGTTCACAGGAACATTCGGCAGTGCACAAATGCTTGTGCCGTCTTGTTCTCTACACGCGCAGAGCTCCAGTGAGATTGTCGCATGTGCAGAACGACTCAGGTTCCCTCGATGCACTGCGGCAGCGGTGGCGTAGCAAAACTGGCTGGTGAGATCGGTCTATTGTTGTGCCTGAAGAAACCAATAACTCAGACCCCACTACATTTTTTTTTATTCTTTTTTATTTCTAGTATCGATTTGAACAACCTGCTGTTCGATACAAATTTTGTGTAACACACTGACGCATGCTTCGGATGGTCCGTAATATTTCAAATTGACTGAGGCCTCTTTGCGCGGGTTAGCTAGCTTCGTTGAGTGCGCTTCTCCTTGGGTACTGTACTACTGCGGGGAAGCGACATCCGCGGAGCGAGATTTCTGCAGTTCGCGCTCCGTGTACGCAGTGCAGCGCGGTGCGTGGAAATTGTTCGCATTATGACGACGAATTGCGAATCGCTCCGGATGTACCGAAGTGCGGTGACCGTCGTCTCCACTCTTCGCGCCGTCGTAACGAAACTTGAGCTAACAACCCGATTCACCCTCGGCGAAGTCCCATCCGTAGCTTGAAACAGAAAAAAAAAAGAAAAAAAGAAATATATATTTGTCTATATGCCGCTCGCCCGGGCGTCCGATGTAAGAAATAAATTATTTGAACTCGGCGAGTGTTAATGCGTCACTTATTGTCTGTTAATTCATGTATTAAACTATGAAGGCAGAAAATATAGAATAATATATGTTATGTTTCGTTGTTCTCACTAGCTTGAAAGCGTTTTTTTTTTTTTTTTTTTGCAAGATTAACCTTTTTTTTTTTAGTTATAGATGACTTGCTCTATATAGGTTGAATGTTGTGTCATGTCCTTCGTTCAGTTAACAGGGAAGTAGACATTCGGCTGTTTCAGGACACAAATAAGAAATAAATAATTTTATAAAAATTAAAGATGAACCACGTATATCGCCAGCTGCAATATTTCCCATTCTCCACCCCATAATTTTAACTTTATTTGATGTTCTTGTTACCCATGCCGGGCAGCTACTTTCCCGGTAGATCAGGGGTCTCCAAACTTTTAGGCTAACGGGCCGGATTAGCGATCTGTCTCAATCTCGAGGGCCGGGAAAAAAAGAGTAATTATAAAAAAAAAATGCTACGTGAATAAACCTATATAAGCATTTAAACGCCAGAATTAGATTAAGTATTAAAAAAACCTAAGGTGGATGAATGCACGTACTTCAAATGGACATGTAATATTTTCATAATTGTGACATTACACAACGCTTGCAACCAAGAAAACTCGGGACGCATAAATCAGAGCGCATGGGAACCTTGGCATGTTCCAAGAGGGCAGAAGACTAATGAGATGTTAACTAGACACGAATGACTCGAAGCAGGGGACTAAGGATGATAATGCTAGTGATGACAATGTTCAGTGAATAATATGGCGAAACGACCCGTGTTACGTTGCAGTTTATCTTTACGCGCACTTCGTTGTGCGCCGCTAGCCCGGGTCTACTAGAAGCGGGCCGCCGGCTGGGCTTCATTGGGAAGACCGTGGTCAGCCGTGGGCCGGTCAGGAGACTACCGCGTGCCGGATCCGGCCTGCGGGCCGGGAGACCCCTGCCATACAGGAAGCCCGCATCTCTCTCGCAACTTTTTTTTATCTCGACTTCAATAGGAAAAAAAAAAAAACTGGTTTTGTATTGTCGTAAAAAAATGTTTGCACGCAAAGTGCTATTAATGTTAAATGAGAAAAACTTTGGAGTTTTTATTAACTAATAGCACGTTTTTAATACGACCTTTAGAATCTGAGAAAATGTTCACGGCTGCACTGGAGGTTGCGCAATTTAGAATTTGGTACTCAACATTATTCTCAAACAATTCCAATTGATTTCTCTTTGGTATTTATTAACTAATAGCACGTTTTTAATACGACCTTTAGAATCTGAGAAAATGTTCACGGCTGCACTGGAGGTTGCGCAATTTAGAATTTGGTACTCAACATTATTCTCAAACAATTCCAATTGATTTCTCTTTGGTTTTTATTAACTAATAGCACGTTTTTAATACGACATTTAGAATCTGAGAAAATGTTCACGGCTGCACTGGAGGTTGCGCAATTTATAATTTGGTACTCAACATTATTCTCAAACAATTCCAATTGATTTCTCTTGATTCCATTCCCGAAGTGACACGTGGCACGCGCTCGGGATGTGTTCGTCATCAATGAGCTTGTTCTTCAGAAGCGGCTGCTGCAGTGAGGATTTTCGAACAAAAAGGGTGACTCTTGTCACAACATTCTTGCTGTCGTGTTTCGTGTTTTCAAGCGCAGTTAAACAGCTGGTTGAGTCGCCGAAGGCCTGCCACACCACGCGTGCTACATGAGTGATTGCACAGGTACGAGAAGCAAGATAAGGCATTCTCTTTTGATTGGACAGGCAGTGGATGATTCTTTACGCAGTGTTTGCAGTGTAACGAATGAGAATGAAGTATGAGCCGGTGCTCTAAAGGTTTGCCCCTAAAGGTGTTCCGAGGTTACCGCTAATCCCTTTGTCTGCGTTGTGTCGTGCAGGTGAAGATCTGGTTCCAGAACCGGCGGACAAAGTGGAAAAAGCAGGACGGCATCTCGAACGCCGAGGCGGCCGAGCTGAAGATCGGCGAGAAGTCGACCAAGTCCAAGTGCTCGGCAGCCAAGGCCGGCGCCCCGCTGGCTGCCGACGCCCTAAGCCTCGCCAAGGGGCCCGCCAGTGGCGCCGGCGGTGCCAGCCCGCTGCTGCCTGCCAGCAGCAACAGCTCTTCCGCCCTCACCCTGAACCAGCAGAGCTTCTCCGGCTCGGCCAAGCCGTCCCCGTGCGGCGTCAGTGATCTCAGCAACCTTTCTTCTTCGGGCGACAGAACTGACGACAGCTCCCAGCATTACCCGCCGTCCTCGGACCCGGAGAAATTCGAGAACGGCGCGCTGGCCGCCAACCACGACGGTGCGAACTGCGCCGGCGTCGCGTTGGCGTGCCGAGACTCCCCTAGTCTGGCCGATGAGCGGCCCTTCCGCGACGCCGTCGACCAGGTGCCCATCCAGCGGGTCCCCAAGCAGGGTACCGACGCCGCCTTTGTGCTCGTCGCCGCGTCGCCAGTGCTCAGCTGTGACGCGGCCGACAAGTTCCAGGACAGCAGTCAGGTGGAACAGTGACACGCAGGCCGGGACTCGCCGCGTCCAGGCCGCTCCCAGCACGACTTGCCTTCTGTAGCCCGGGACACGGGAACGCGCCTTTTGCTCCGGACACCAGTGGCGGTCCGGCGCTGGCTGCTCGGGCCGTCGGGACGCGCCGACTCTTCGTTCGCGAGCCGCCGCCCCGACGCGTCTCTGGGTTGAGCCGCGCCCAGGCCGCCCTCCACGGCGCCATGTCTTCCGCAGTGCTAAGCCCCTCCGCCCCGAGGACGAAAGGGACAGCCGAGGCAAAAAACAATCGCCACTCCGCATCGCTGGGACGGTGGAGAGCGCGAACGCGGGAACCCTGTGACCACTTGCTCGATCAGCCTGCAAGCACGTCGAGGTGGCGCGAGCACGCCGACCTCGAAAATGTCGATGGATTTCATAGAACGTGACCCCTCGATGTCAGTACTGAGTGCCGATTTCATCCGCATGTCATCTTGACTCATCAGTTTATGGCGCGAATTCTCTCTCCTCCATGACGGATCAATCCTTAGATAACTTTTTATTTTTAATAGTGGCTTTTTTAGTTGGCTCGCTTATTTTTTACTTAAGTCGCAAGAACGAAACGGTGTCTGCCACTAAACTAATTCGGTATTATAGTCATCTACAGCTTGTGAACGACAGGGCGTGGTTTCTAAAGACGTTGTTTGTCGATTCGGCTCCGAAAGCTCATATGGAATTACTCTGCGATCTCATCTACGCGCTGATAAGACGATGGGGACTGCGTCCACACCCTGTCGTGTTCAAGAAGTCAGTGACTATGCTATGAAGCCAGTTCACGAAAAGAGCTTCGTAGCAAGCCTCGACCTGCAATCGGTTGCAGTTTCTTTTTCCCCATTTTTTTTATAATTGTGTTAGTCTTTACATTATTGATCGGGCAGTAAGAATTCACGGGAAAAACTACACACGCGACACTAGGGGGGAAAACATTTTTAAAAGGAGAAGGGGGGGGGGGAGGGGGGCACACACACATATAGTTGAAAACACGCAGGGCGTGTCTAATCTGAGGCCGCGTGATTTGAAACCTCACATCTTCACACTTCCGATTGATTAAATGGCAATCTTTACGGACAGTACTTGGTATTACTTTCCTTCTCGACTTTAGAGTGCAAAACGTGCGTGAACAAGAGACGGTAGCTTTGAGGAGAACAAAAAGAAACGAATGGCCGCGGTGCGTGCTCTTATGCGTGGCTGGAGCTCGTCTATAAGAAAGAGACAAAAAAAAGATTCCGGGCAATTTTTTTTTTTTTTTTGTTATGGCACGCAGAGGGCTAATCATTACATCGGACGCAAGGAGCCTGGTAATTGGTGAGACTTGGAACAAGTTTGACACACGCAAAAACAATACCAACGAAAACAAAAACATAAATGGAACCCGGGACTGGAAAACTGATTCCGTTAAGCAAAGGCCATGCACCGTGGTTCAGCGTAGGTAGCATTCTAAGCTCAAAACTAGCCCTTATACTCATTCTTCAAAATACTGGAATAAGCACAGCCCGTGCCACAGTCTTTCTCGGTTTCGACTCGAATTCCTGTCGCAAGTTCCGTTGGCTCGAACAGGAATGCATTACGGTTGCACCGCTAAGGGAGTAGTGTATCGTTGCCTTGACGTAACGCTCCCGCATTTTTTTAAGAACTTTGTTCAAAAATGCACAGGAGTATACCTAGGCAAAGCGGCACAGACCACATCTTTAGAATCAGCCGTAACCCAGAAAGGCTAAAAGTAAGCGTGCATGCTTACCCCTCGACACCCACAGCTAATTGAATCGAAAAACTAAAATTATTCCCAAATTCAGCTACAAAAAAAAAAATAATAATCACAGTGCGTTTTTGTTTTAGTACGTTACATTCGTGATGTGACAGCATGCTGGCTCCTTCTACATGCAGGCTTGTACATGCAGACCTAGAGTGCAATGAGCAACTCACTATTGAACTATTCCTTTGTTTGTCCTGAAAATTAAGGCTGTTTCCCCGAACGCGGTTCCGTAAACGCTGGTCAGAACGTTTATATAGTATCGTTATTCGGAGGGACGTTCTCATTTCCATTCATCCATGTTAATTTGATTCTAGATTGCAATGATTGGCTCCGATTGACTCTGCACAGGCCCTCAAGGAAAGGACGCGCGGCGGTTTTTTCGCAGTGAAGGAGCTCATGCTCGGAGCTTTAACCTCGGGTCGATAAGAATAGAAAATGTCGCGTAATTTACTTTTCTGCAATACCATCATCGTTTTGTTCCTTTTTTTCCTTTTTTTTTTTTTTTTTGTAAAGTAAAGAAATTTGGTACAATTTGAGGAGGGAAAGAAAAACGTTAAGCGTGAAGGCAATGCAAACGGTGTGAGAGAGGAGTTGGTAGAAAGCTCACCAGCGCGCTGAAAGCCAGAGTGACAGATGATCGCGAGCTTTCTGATTTTCCAGCCAGGTTTGAAAACTGGAATCGGGTCTCCAATGGAGCTTTCGGGAATCCTCCGCGCTACGGTGATCGGTCATAACGTCAGGCCGTGGTTTGGGGAGTCACCTATACTGTACGCTGTGCATCGACATTTATCCCCATTCAAGATCTCGAGGCAGATTGTACAGTCGTGGGCGCGGACTTTGGGCTGTACGACTGTTCTGGTCGTTGTTACTAATTCACGCGTCTTGTCGGATATGATGGCGAGCAATGAATGAGGAATAGAGCCAGAACCACATCTGATGCGATTTGAACGAAGGATACGACGAATGCGTTGCACGGGCTCCCCCTCTTCGGCCAGTATCGCTTGCACCGGGGAGAAGCCGAACCAAAGCACATGCACCCCGGCCGGTGTCGTTTCCTGAAACAAAGATTTACCTAAGCAAAGAGGATGTGGCTTTCGTTTATTACCAACCAATCGGTGTGCCGCACTTGTTGACATTCGACACGTATATTTATCTTCAAATTATATGGTCTAAGAAACGTGCGTAAGCAAGATATAACATTCCTATGTTGTTCGTCTTCTTTAAATTAGTAACAAGTATAACCATTAAGTTGCTTGCACCAGATATAAAGCTGTCCGTTGCCGTGCGTGCTTTGAAAGAGCCACTCCAGCCTAAACCAATACACATTCTGGCGTGTTGCGCCTGTTTGCCGCCGGTTGACACGTCCGTCGTATGTCAAAGTACTTTCAACCATTGGGGGAAATAAAATAAATTCGATGGAACAAATTTGAGGCTCGGAAGTCTGCAACGAGCCGAAATTTTGATTTTTTATTTTTATTATTTTTTTTTTATTGGCAGGTCCCGATTTTGTACAGCACAATAAAGAAATGTCAAACTTTTTGTCGTCCTTCCTAGAATCGCAGGACGTGATCAGTTTCAGCGTAGTTCATATCGTCTCGGGATTGGTTAACCGTACCTAACCGTAAATGCAGATATAGTGCAAGTACTAGCAAACTACAAACTACTGGCACTTTTAATTTTGGGATTGGTTCCGGAAATTTCATATATAAGCTCAGGGGCTGGAATCTCATTGACTGCGCTCAGTTAATACCAGAAAGATACGCCCGGCATTTTTTGCCCTGTTGGTGACTCGACAGTAAATGTGCTAAAACTACACAAAACTGCTAGGTTTCTTTTTTATGTTTATTTTTTTTTTTTTGCGCTTTTTGTAGCTATTCAGGATTTCATCATTTTCTGTGTACTGATGCGTCTACGTATCCGCGTGCTCGAACTTCTTCGGTCGGTTAGTTGTTTGCTAGTGCGTCAATTTGTGGATAGATATGTGTGCTTGTGTGCGCGAGAAAGTGCGTAATTAAGCAGTTGTCGGCATTCCTTCGATTAGTTTATTTGTACCCAAAGTGGAGCGGCTCGACCGAAGATCTCAAATCGCTGCCTCGATCAACCCCTTTCGCATCAGAATCCAGGACAGATACATAGAATTGTTCGCGTTTGAATTCGACACATCGTGCTCGAATCCGAGCGTATACGATGCCTATCAAACTAATTAGGGTAGGATCTACGCCAACCGTCGCACGCTGATTAATGATCATCGCGTGACGCCGACCATTAGTTAGCGTCGCGCGATTAAAACTGAACAAAGAACAGTCTTTTAATACACTCGTCGCGAAGAAAACAAAACAAAAGACACGAATTTTGTTCGAATTGTCGCCGTTACTGTTCCTGCGAAACGCGCACAACTTCTCGAGTAGAACCCGACCTTCTTCCCTCGAGGATTGGGACGTCCCCTTAAGAAGTATTGCGTCCAGGGGGCTGAGCGTGTCTCTCGATATCATGTCCATTTAGCGGTAGGAAATCATGGGATATCTGCCGAGTACGGGTGATGCATTCGTACATTTATATATATATTTTGTATTCTTATCCCAGTGGTTTCAGCTGGTCGGCGTGTTACGTCGCTCTGCTGAGCATACCAGTCGAACTTACTTTAACGTAAACCATGTAATATAAATACATATTGCAAAAAAAGAAGAGAAAAAAAAAACGCCAGAGACCGGACTGAAATAACCACGTTTCCAAAGATGAGCAGAATCTACTCGCGAATGTTTGTCCCCTTCGACCCGTCCCAGCCGACGAACTTATTATAAATTTTGCTGACGCACTTACAACTAATGCTACACACATGGAGGGGACAAAAGCAAAAGTTGCGGCGGTTTATTTGACGTGTAATCTATCGATGACAGTGGCTCGAAGAGCCCTCGCTGCTCTACCAACAGACCGCAATTTCGAAAAGGCGACAGAGCTGTACCAGCTGTTTCCGCACTTCCCGCTTCCTAAAATCTCTTCCCTAATTCCCCAAATTTGTGCGATGGACAATATCGTTGCGCGAAGAAAGGCAAGCGTGATGATCACTCGCGGAGGTGCGTGGGTACAGAATCGCGTTCGAGATTTCGGTCGCCGTCGAAACAAACGCAAGCATTGCCAACTTTTCCAAAATTCACAATAACACGACGCAAAAAAAAAAGGGGGGGGGGGGGGGGGGGAGGGGATACGTAATGTTCTTTGGTTGATCAGAATGACGTATCAGTCTTCCCGTTAAAGATGCGTGCGTCGACATCGCACGCTCATCACTGAAGAAAGCCCGCACGTCTACTTTCCCGCACAACACTCGGAGACCCAATCACAGCAACTTACGGAGGCGACTCAGCGAATGACGATGCCGAAACATATGCTGAGACCAAAAAAACTCAATCTGAGTTGTGACATTGAGCAATGCAAGCGTGACGTTTTGCATTGCTTATTGTCACATCTCAGACTGCGTTCTTTGGTCTAAACATATGTTTCGGCATCGTCATTCGTTGAGCTGCCTCTGTAAGTTGCGCTGATTGGTTCTCCGAGTGTGGTGCGGGCAAGTAGACGCACGGGATTTTTTTTAGTGTAATACAGTGAGAAGTTTCCCCTTTGACCGCGCCCCTTGCCCAAACCGTCATGTAAAAAAAAATAAATTAAAAAAACGCACGTTCGACGTTAGTCACCCAGTGCACTGCATCTCCGACGGTAAAAAGAAAAATGCGATTCCCCGTGAGTTGCGCCACACATGCACACAGAGAGAAAGAGGGAGGCTTTTGTTCTCCGCGTGATGCGGTGCGCACCGGCTCTTTTTCGCGCTCGCCGCCGGCAAAGAAAAGGCCATTCTGCGGTCTCCGCGACCGCGGATGTTCCCTCGAGGCGTTGTTGCTCCCGACTTGGGGAACAGGGCTCCTCGAGAATCACAGGGTATTTACACACGGCACAAACAGGTCGCGAAACGTACTTTCGCGAACGAGAAGCAATGGCGGATTCAGACAGAAAGAGCGAGAAAGACAGAGAGAGATGCGACTTTTTTTTTTTTCATATAAATTGTTTACGACCGAAACTCCACAGATAATTTTTTGTTTCCCTCAATTTCTCAAGTTCTTCCTGCGTGCATGTGCTCTTATTGCACGAATATTAAGTGAGGATCGACTGAAATACGATGTATTAAACCGCTGTAGCGAGTGGCCGAATGTTTCTATTTTTATTATTATTATCATAATTATTATTATTATTAGTTGTCAGTTCATAGTCGGGCCGAACGCTCGTGTACATTGTTTGGTGCGTGTGTTTTACGTTGATGCGTTCCGTTTCGCGATCGGTAATCTATAGAGGCGCTCATCCTCTCTTTTTCTTTTTTTTTTTTTCCCGATTTATGATGTCCCACGAAGATAGTGATATAACGGATGCTGTTTTCCAGAATGTTGGGGGTCAAACGCATTATAGGATGCACTTTTCAGTTTTTGTAGACTAACAACTTTTTTTTTTATATATATACTCTGTGGGACAAGCTACTTAATGAATTTGGTACGTGGTTAACAATGTGTAACGGTGAAAGTGTACGCGTCTGGAACGTCGTCAATCTGTGCATTTTCTCCTCCTTTGGTTACAACTTGCCGTGTCAACAAAGATGGTTCGTGGTGTGTACATTGACTGCCTTTATGTTATCAGTGCAATTCTGCGTGTGTGTATATGAGGCTGGGCATCATTCCTTACCCAAGTGTTGACCGGATGTAACACGTTTGCGCGTTTGTTTCGATACCTTGCAATGTATTCGTGCGGTGCTAGCTTTGTTTGAAGAGGTACAAAAGCAAACAAAAATTTGTTTTTTTTTTGTTTGTTTTATCAAATGAGGGCTTTAGAATTCTATGGCTCTAATAACACACAGACATAGACACACAAATCAAGTATCTTAATCTTATGGATGAAGTTGGGAGACACAGTGAGCATCGAAAGGACGCGTATGTTTACCTTTTTGTCAGTATGTTAATTAATTAACTGGAGTTACTGAATTTAACTAAACTTAGCGGCCGTGTTACTTTTTTTCTCTTTTTTTTTGCGGCACACTTTTATAATATCCTGCTCATCTCACGGACGGAAGTCAACCCGGTGTTAAAACTCTCCTGGCCGTAGTTTTATCATTTGTGGTGCTAAACAAAATCTGCGTACGCTTTCTGGGTATTGAGTATGTCTCGTGAAGCGCGCACGACGATTCCCAGAACGGAAAAAAAAAATAATACCAATCACGGGTTTGGCTAGAGTTCTGTAAATCTCCAAGAAACATATTAGATTGAGACAATTCTATGATTGGCATTTCCAGTTTTCGCGGGAACGTTTAATATGTTAGCGACCTAGTATTTCACTACTGGTTTGTGTCAGATCTGTGATTGGGAGCTCACTTCACCGTGGACGTCGTCGTCACGCCCGTTCTGAGTTTTAAACAAATTGTACAAACCATCTTTGGCACAAAACGTTGGGAATATAGGAGGCACGGTTCAGTTACCTTAAAGCCCCTTATACGAAACTAACTGCATCCGCGATCCGTGTAAGTGGCACGTGAAATTTGCCTTCGTTGTGTGACGAAGAGCGGATTGCTTCCTGACCACGTTATCTTACCATAGAATTAAGCGAACTTCTAGCTTTTTCTTATATATAATTTATTGTCCTTGATGGCTATATCATACTACGAAGGCGAGTGGGCGCTACTTTTTTTTTTTTTTTTTTACTTCTTGTCGTTTAAACGGGACGGGGCAAGGGGGCGAAGGAAAACGTAGCCAACAATCGAATCCCGCGAATTACACAACCCCTTCACTTTCACCTGATCAAGCCGAGCCGAAATCGGCCGAGAGCGCGCAGATTTGGCGTGTATTCTTCATAGAATTTCTTTCAACCGAGCCCTTCATGTAACGGAATATTTTTGCATCCGCTTTAGCGTGACCACCGCACGACGCGAAGAAAACAAGAACAGCTGGATGCTTCGTGGGAAGCTAGGCCTACATGACCCATTTGGGCGCCCGTCCGGGGCCCCACCTCATGTGTGTGTGTATGTATGCGCGCGTGTGTGTGTGTGTGTGTTTCTTGAAAATTGTTTTCTCCGCGCGCAAAATGTACAAAGTATCACATCTACGGAGGCGTGTATTGAGCTCACCGGGTTGAATGCAACCCGGTAAAGGAGCGATCGCATTCAAATTGCCATATCTTCGCAGAAAGTGCAATTTCAGTGACACAAGAGAGAGAGAGAGTCTAAAGAACCCAGTGTTTCAGTTGATGTTGACCTATGCTACGTTCTAGTCATTTAAAGAAAGGCCCATCGACGTTATTGCACGCCAAAGATATGATGTGTTAAAGAAAGGCACTGACTCCGCTCGCAAAGTGCGGGACGTCGGTGTACCAGAGTTCGACGATGCATTCGCCGTAGTGTCATCCTTGTGCGACGACCCCGTGTCTCTTTTGCATGCAGTCCACACTTCATAGTCTACGTCCTGCAGCTCGTTGGTCGCCGCAGCTCCGAGCTTCTTTCGAGAGTCCCGTAGAGATGTGAGCAGCGCGCTCACGTTGTTCCGCACTGCACCCTAGTATCGATTTCTCTCGTATATCTGTGCCATCGCAACTGTCATGGTCAAGACGCTCGAGTGAACGAAATGCCACTAGCTTTTATTTTTTATTGTATTTTTTTCTTCGGTGTGTAAGGAGTCGGAGTACGGAGGTCATAAGTAGTGCGCATCCGTAGAGATAAAACTGCTGTTGAAATGAAATACTACTGCGTCACGTCTTCTTTCTTTAAACACTGCGCGCCTTCGCGCACACCGCTGTGACTCCGTGTCCATGGGCTGCCGTAGACATACTGTGTCCCACGGTACGCGAGGTGGATACGTGAATTCCTGCATGCCTTTAACGTATCTCAAATCATAGCCTCCTCTACACTCACAAAGCCCGGCAGTTCGACGAATGAGCCATAGAGTGTCCAGTCGCTGATTTGGAGAGCGAGGATCGGGTAGCACAAAGCATCAAAGAGCCGTTTCTCGGGGAACCTGGACGTCAGCGCACAGCTTTTGCAGCGGCGAGGACCCGAAACACACTTGTTCGCTTGAGAGAAATGTGTTTCGGCGTGTCGCCGCTGCGGGGCGCCAGTCACGTGGCTCCCCTCTCATCCGCTGTCTGCCGCTCCACCTTTTCCATTTCGGCGGCCGCTTTTCGTGGCGATCTGCCAGGCTTTGTCAGTATATAGAAGGCTAGGCTCAAATTGAACTACCGCTTCTTGTTTATGCCAGTTATTGCTGGATTAGTTCAGTTCCATGCCTTAAACAATAAAGCGTTCTGGGCCGAGTACTTACTAACTCACCCGTACGCTATGCGGGTAGAAATTGAGGGAGAGGAGGAGGAGGTCAGAGAGCCGAGCTTTGGCGGGAATGATTGGTGGGTAGACTCAAAACCTTTGTCTCGTATCTCACTGTTCGAACGCGTTTGAACGCCGAACGCTGGCGTTGGTCTCCCCCTTTTCCTCAATTTCCACCCGCATAGTTACTGACATGGGGAGAAAGGCAAAGAGGAGTTCAAGTTGTCCCCACCCCTCTATAGCGCGAGCTTCCTACATTCGATATCACTTCGGCGTATCGTGGGCCTCGAGCGTGTACACGCAGCTAAAGCCCGGCGGAAGGCCAAATTCGCCCAGTACTATGCAGAGAGCAAGTCTGCTACTTGCGCAAGAGTTGCGGTCACGTCAGAACGAAGCCGAGCTCTGATTAGCTCTGATTGAAGGATAGTGGGTAGACCTCAAGGCAGTTTGCTTTGAGGTCTACCGACTATCCTTTCAATCAAAGCCAGTCACAGCTCGGCGTCGTTCTGACGTCACCACAACTCCTGCGCATGGAAGCAGATGACTTGCTATCCGCATAGAAACCCCGCCCGGCCCCTTCTCATCCTATCAATAACTCTAGTACTGCGAGAACATTTTTTTCTTGATGTAAATTGCTAGTATATTAGATTTATGCGTTATACGATTTATACGTCTATCCTGACTCCTGAGGTAGACATATTGAGGCACCCCATTGTCCTCGTGTCGTTGGGACAATCTACGCAATGAGTGGCCCGTATACTGATCCGTAGCACAGGGTCCGGTAGAGAAAATGAAACCCTGTTTTTCGGTCCGCATAAATCTACATATCGCAGAACCCTGAAACTTCACGCGAAGGTGACACTATAGTGGTGGGGATAGAATGCGAAAGTTTCAGAACTACAGATTACCTGTATCAGACGATAAAACAGAAAAACGAAATTTCTTCATCAGTATGTCCACGGCCCCATATTTCTCAAAAAAAAAAAAAAACTTATCAGCAAGTCAGAATACCTTGTTTGCTTTCCTGCAGGCCGATTTTTCTTTATATATATATACCGAAATAAATACTACGGGCGCTCACGGTGCAGTTTCTTGGTTTGACAAGCATTGGCCTATATGGTGACATCAGCACATAGAGAAATTCCGTTTTTCTGTTATCTGTTTTGACCAGGTAGCGCGCATGGTCTCAAACTTTCGCATTCTGTTACCACAGCTTACGTCACATTTACACGGAGCTTTAGGTTCTTGAGGTGCATAGTTCCTTTATGTCGGACAAACAATAGGGTTTTATTTTCTCTATCAGGCCTTGTATCACTCTAAAAAAAGCCAGTGCGTCTACTTTCCCGCACAACACTCGAAGAGCCAATCAACGCAACTTACGGAGGCAGCTCAGCGAATGACGATGCCGAAACATATATTTAGACAAAGAAACGCAGTCTGGGTTGTGACATTAAGCAATGCAAAACGTCACGCTTGCATTGCTTAATGTCACAACTCAAACTACATTTTTTGGTCTAAACATATGTTTCGGCATCGTCATTCGCTGAGCTTCCTTCGGAAGTTCCGGTGATTGGCTCTCCGAGTGTGGTGCGGAAAAGTAGACGCCTGCGCGGTCTTTTTTTTTTTTTTTTTTTTTTTTTTTTTTTTGATAGTTAGGAGGTACGCATAAAATATGCTGTTAATGTTGTTTTTACAGCGGGGCTGTTAAGGGCTAGTTTCCCCAGGATCGTGCCCCCGCAAATAAATGAAGACACCGAACTCTGGACACCTACCGCCATCTATGAGCGACGGCGGCAAGCCACGTATCTGGTTGCCGCTGTCGCTCATAGATGGCGGCAGCCTTTCCACTCCGCCGGTCTTCCTTCTTCACCAGAGTGGAAAGGCTGAAAGTTTATTGTCTTTTTTTTTTTTTGCAATATGCTGCGTTTGGATATGAGCATGCACACTTGGTTTCTTGGTAAAGTCATATCCCGCTTTAGCCAAGTTACTCTGTAACTGGAATAGCATTTCTTTCCAAAAAGGGACTCCTAGTCACAGGAAGTGAACAGAAGAATGCTTGCCTTGGGAGATGGTGGCCCGTGTTGCAAGGAGATATCACAAGTTCCCGAAAAAGAGGAAGAAAGTGAAGGTATGTATGCACGTATTTTACTTTCTCGACAATATCATTTCGGTGATGATTTTGAATGAAAAGATAACTTTATTTACAGCTCTTTGCGTGTCGGCGAACTACGGGGTGTGCCGCATCACCAGTAGCCCTTGCCATTCAATGAAACCACCATAGCCTCTTTTGAAAACTCTCAACCATAGGCATTCACAGCAACTCTATCGTGACCACAAGTGAAGACGCTCAACTTTGTAAAAAGAAGCACAGGTACCCTTTTTACGAGGGAGAGGAGAAGACGAGAGAGCGCGGGGGACGTCCCAACAGCGAGCTCTGGTTGGAATGATTAGTGGGTATAGCGCAAACCAAGCTGTCTTTCTCTCTGCTCGCTGCTGTTCGAACGCCGGCGTTCGGCGGTCGAACACGTTCGGATAGTGAGTTTACTCGATCTCACTCCGGAGCAAAGACTTTGTACCTTGGCGTTCGCTTGCCGCTACCTGATTCAAAAGTCACGAGTGATTTTATGAAATTTTCATTGCAAAACTGGTGGCCGATGACGCCCATGAATACAATACATGGCGTCTTCTACCGGAAACGGGCCCCGTTCTCTACATTGAAATTTTCAGAAAATCTCTTATTCTGACTTTAAGTCAAATAACGGTAAGTTCCGGGAAATTCGCGCAGACTGAGCGTTCCGCGACTCGTATAGTCTACTTTTGAGGCGAAAAAATACTTTTTTTTTTCTTCTCCTAAACACCCGGTTGTTCTTTAAACAGTGCCCCAACTCTTGCATGAGTCATCTTCCATCTTCGTTCACAATATTATTGCGACGGCACCTGTCAATCTTTCCTCACTAATATATATATATATCAGGCACGTAGGCAGGGGGGGGGGGGGGGGCGGCCCGCTCCCCCCCCCCCCCCCCCGTCGAAATCTTCCATTTTGCTGGGGCCTCCTCTCCCTCCCCCCTCATAAAACATTTCGTTCCGGGGGGGGGGGGGGGGGGGGGCGCTTCCCCCCCCCGGAACAAAATCCTGGCTACGTGCCTGATATATATATATATATATACCGGGTGGTTTTGCGAAGACTTTCAAAAATCCAAAAAATTAGGACGTTAAAAAAAAAAAAAAAAAAGAGGAACCTGTCTTCGAGAACAATCTACCAGCCACGGCGGACGTCAGGAATTGCCGAAAACATACTAATTATCCAGCTAATTAATTAAGATGTGTTAATTAACTTTTTAATTAGTGGAAATAGACATATGGTTCGAATTAGAAAGTTGCTGAGCGTTATCGAAAGCCATTAAATCAGTCATTTTCAGAAAGACTGAGCGCATGAGAAGAGTAGGAGTGTACTAAAGTTACCACTCGTGGAGCAGGTACAAGGCTGGGTCTAGATAAGAGGCGGAAAAATCGCGCGGGCGCCTTACCGGAACTGCTAGCCTTGTGCCTGCTCCACGAGTGGTAACTTTAGTGCGCTACTACCCTTCTCACGCGCTCAAAGTCTTTCTGAAAATGGCTGATTTAGTGGTTTTCGATAACGCTTAGCAACTTTCTAATTGAAACCATATGTCTATTTCCACTCATTAAAAAGTTAATTAACACATTTTAATTAATTATCTGGCTAATTGGTATGTTTTGGTGATTCCTGGACGTCCGCCGTGGCTGGTAGTTTGTTGCCGAAGAATTTTTTTTTCAAACATCTTAATTTTTAAGATTTTTGAAAGTTTTCGCAGAAACACCAGGTATATAGTATATATGTGTGTGTGTAACCTTAGCCACGTTTACCATTAATAAAAAATGCAGCGTCATCATCTGCTGTTTGCTGGCCCCCACCAGCAAGATCCATGTAATCATACTCTAAAACCGTTTTATACATTTACCGCTGTCTGGCATATCATGAAGAAGAAAAAAGGCTAGTTGAGTCACCGTTGCTTCAAATACAAACCCACTTGTCTCAAGACGAATTTTAAACGTGGCCATCTAAGCTCGTTTTTTTTTTTTTTTTCTCTCTTTTTTTTTATTTTTGGATGTTTTGTTTTTTAAACGCATTTTCGCTAAATCACTATTCTGATATAAGGATGGGCTTTCAATCTTTTGTTGTCACCGACCAAGAAGGCGGTACGCCGTTTTCTTTGTAATTCGAAAGCATTATGCCCCATTACGCGAAAATCCAGCGTCGTCGGCGGCGTGACCGAGCGATGGTACCAAAAATGGCCGACGGCGCCAAGAGTAAAAACACGCCAGAAATGCTCGGTTTGACGTCACATTTCTCAGGGAGGTTCCTGTAAACAAAGTAAATTGACGATTTTGAAAAGG